TCTAGTATTGTACTGACTCAAGCTAGCACTTTTGCCTGTCGCCCTTAATATAAGGTCCAGAGATCTCATTTAGTATACCAAATGAATGGGAAAATTTATAAGTATTGATAGAAGTTGGTATGAGTAAACGTGGTGACACCATTTTATTCGATATTACCTCCAGTTACAATTATGTGATTAATTTATATCACTACAAGGGTTATCTGAACTTGTGACATTTTTTATGTTTTCAGACTGCCAAGATGCAGTGAACGTCGGATATACAGAAACTGGTGTTTATGAAATCCATCCTGAGGGTCTGCCGTATGAAACCCCAGTGTGGTGCAAAATAGAGGGCGATATTGGATAGACCGTCTTTCAACGTCGTTTGGACGGCTCGCAGGATTTTAACTTAGATTGGAATAATTACAAACGTGGGTTTGGCAATATCAACGGTGAATTCTGGTTGGGGAACGAGGCTATATATCTTATTACGACCAGCATTGGTAGACTGTATGAACTTCATATCGATCTACAGAGAGAAGACACTGGCGGGTTGTACTACGTAAAATACTCTGATTTCAAAATTACTAACGAAACTGATAATTACAGACTTCTATACAACATTTTTATAGAAGGCACGGCTGACGATGATTTGTATATGAACAAAAATATGCAGTTCACCACGAGAGACAAAGATAATGATTTTTACAGCTATAATTGCGCTGATACTTATGGCGGAGCATGGTGGTATAACGAGTGTACTTACTGTGTCCTTAATGGTTATTATTCACACTATGTATATTGGCGAATCAGTTCTACAACCGAATCGCACGTGACAACTTTGATGATGTTCACTCCCACTGATTTATTAAATTATTAGCGTCAGTAATGTTTATAATTGATATTGATTAATTTGAAACATGCGTAAACAAAATAACTTATAGTAAATTGACCCACAATATAGGTTATTATGATTATAACAAAACGAACATCGTAAAGACAAAAATCCACATAGGGCTCGTTTCCATCACAAACCTCAATATCGATTGTGCCGTTTTAGTTTGCATCACTAATTATCTAGTTTCATCTATACTACCCAATTTAATCGATGGAGCTAAATGTATGTAACTGACGAAAATAAAGACAACTACCTATAACCAGGGATGAATTGAATGGTGATTTAAATTATCATAATAATGTTATTTATATTGCAGGGTAATGGTGTGTATCATTTTTTATAATCTAAAAAGAATTTCATTAACAAGAATTTATGTGTTATATATAAACTAAACATACATTCTCCTTTGATATGCTCGTTTTGTACTTGTGCCATTACGATTGTGAAAGATATAACGTCAAATGCGCTTGGGGTTACTGATGAAAATGACAAACATTCGCAAGATTTAGATATATTTTTACAATACAACGAAAATAACGAACGTGCATCCTAAAGTACTGCACAGTGCCCTGCGCTACTGTCACAGATCTCGCCTGCTGCTTTACAAGCTTCTATTTTTATCTCCGATATCACGTAATCTCCGGTAATAGCAGCGAGTATACTTTAATACTTGTCATTAGATGCGCCAGTCTGAATGCCATCATTCTTATAATACTCCGCCACGTTTGCCACAAACTATTTTATAATATATTTACTTAAACTTTGTAACAATTGCCACCCCATTATTGATGTAATTATTCGTGATGTGGATAGCAATTTACCCATGCAGCTATTCAGATTGTTGAAACGAAATATGTGAAGTCTTGGGTTTTTTAACGACTATACATTTCTATATCAGTCCACTATAAGTAAGCTTTCCCACATGTTAACTTTGAAGAATATCCACCATTAACACAGTAGTGTGTCACCGAAGTATCGTACGCCCACCCCAAAAATAAAATGTCCACCATTAACACAGTAGTGTGTCACCGAAGTATCGTACGCCCATCCGCAAAAATAAAATACCCACCATTAACACAGTAGTGTGTCACCGAAGTATCGTACGCCCACCGCAAAAATAGAATATCCACCATTAACACAGTAGTGTGTCACCGAAGTATCGTACGCCCACCGCAAAAATAGAATATCCACCATTAACACAGTAGTGTGTCACCGAAGTATCGTACGCCCACCGCAAAAATAAAATATCCACCATTAACACAGTAGTGTGTCACCGAAGTATCGTACGCCCACCGCAAAAATAAAATATCCACCATTAACACAGTAGTGTGTCACCGAAGTATCGTACGCCCACCGCAAAAATAAGAATATCCACCATTAACACAGTAGTGTGTCACCGAAGTATCGTACGCCCACCGCAAAAATAAAATATCCCACCATTAACACAGGTAGTGTGTCACCGAAGTATCGTACGCCCACCGCAAAAATAAAATATCCACCATTAACACAGTAGTGTGTCACCGAAGTATCGTACGCCCTCCGCAAAAATAAAATATCCCACCATTAACACAGTAGTGTGTCACCGAAGTATCGTACGCCC